TACTGTAAATACATTTTTTAATTCAAACATTCATCCTATATTTTGATCATCCCTTATTATTATTATCTCATTCCTCCCCATAACAGCCTCAAGAAGTAAATACTATTACTGACATTTTATAAATGAGGGAGCCGAAGTTCAAAGAAGTTAAGCCCATTGCTCAAAGTTACATGTAAAGTATTGGCAGAGGCAAGACTCGAACTTGTGCAGCGGACCCTGCCCTCCATGGTAAAATCGGAGGAGAGACCGGGGCCCCTGGGCCACACCTCAGTGACTCTGGGCCCACACCCATGGAACATCGGGGCCGAGTGCGCTCGGAGGCCAGAGTCTCATGCTCCCAGCTCACACGCAGCAGGGCTCAAGCCCGGAGAGGGAGCGGCCTTACCGAAGGTCACAGCGTTTTAGCGGGACGCTCATGGGGCAGCCCAGGACTCCTGGCCACCACCGGCTCTTCCTGACATCCCAAGAGGCCTTCTCTCTGCACCTGGCAGAAACCCCGAACCCCAAGGTTCTGTGCACCCAGCCCCTCCACCGCAGCCCCGCTCAGCCTCTGTCTCTCTTGGCCACAGACACAGCCCCCTGCACCTCCCCATGGGCTCCGTGTTTGCCAGTCCCCCATGCGTGCTCCCAGAGTCCCAGGGCCACCTCCTTCGGGTCCGTAGGTCCCAGCTCAATGGTCGGCGCCTCTCCAGAGCCTGTGCCCACCAGCGAACCGAGAGGAACTGAGCCGCGCCCTGGCACTGACGGCAAGTCTGCGTTCACTGCAGAGCCGTGGTTATCTCAACCCTCTCTCTTTACCTGTTTGATTGTTCTGTTCGGTTTCTATCTACCAGAATGTCCAGTTCTGTCTCTGCAGAACCTGAAGTGGAAATTTGACTGAACTGAGGAAGGAAGGGAAGGAAGGAAGGGAGGGAGGGAGGGAGGAAGAGACCAAGGCCTCCTGTGGACAAAGCAGGAGGGAGGCCCCATCTCGGGCCTCATCCCTACCTCTCCCTGCTCTCCTGCATCTCCCACCCCAGAAGGCTTCTCCTTTCCACCCTGCACATCCCCTGTCTCGGCCCCGTGGCTTCCTCCGCCGGCTCTGCAGGCCCTTATCCAATGTCCTCTCTCCATCACCCCAGGGTTCCTTATCTACTCACCCCTTCCCCACACTGCTGCTCTGTCCCCTCTGGATGGAGGCCCGGGGCAGGCAGCAAACAGCATTCGCGTCCTGGCTCTGCTGAGCTTGCTGGGGAGACGGCCTCGCCAGGCCCCGCTCGCCGGGGGAGAGGAATTTCTGTAAGCAAAATCTCTGACTCCTCACACAAATCAGTATGCAGGATTCAAAACTGGCCCTAAAGAAGGATACGCTTGAGTCTTTTGTAGGAAAATGGATGCACCTTGAGACCATGATGTTATGTGAAATAAATCAGACACACGAGCTTCAATACCACATGGCTTCTCTTATGTGAGAAACCCCAAGTAGAAATAAAGAGCAAAAGGGAAGATAGATGATGGGAAGTAGGGAGATCAATGTTTTGCAAAAGAGAAGGGACCACAAGGTGGGGGGAGGGAGAAGGAGGGAGTGGGAAAGAATTTCGATGTGTCCTGTGGGAGGACTGACTCCCCCAGAGGAAGGGAGCAGCCCCCGATGAGGGCCACTGGGCCGGGACTGACAGAAGCCATGAATCCTCCCGCTCTCCCAGAAGTGCCGAGGCCCCACAGTGCCCTCAGAGGACAGAGCTGAGACACGGGCGGCGACCAGCTTCCCCACCGTCCAAGGTCTCCCCAGCCAGGCACAGCAGCTGTGTCCACACAGCAAGCAGCGCACACAGGGAGGGAGCCCCCGGCCCTCGCCCACACTCCGCCTGGACTCAATTCCCTGCCAGGGCAGCCCGAGGGGCCGGAACATCAGGGTCTCCAGGACAGGGAGGCACAGTGAGGACTGAGGCCCTGGAGGGGAGAAGATGGGTCCCACACATCCCACTGAGGTCTGGAAGCAGCTCAGCAGCTGTGTGGCCGCCTCCAGGTGCGAATCAGCTTCTCACACCCAAGGGCAATCAATCGATCGCAGCCACCTCGCAGGCCCTCGCCTGACTATAAAGAGTGACACGGGGGTGCTGCTGGGAGTGACGCTCCTGCCCCGAGGGACACTGGTGCCACCCGGTGTGACCTTGGTGCCCTGTGGGTGTCATCGCCCACAGGGAGCCGCTGCTACACTTTCATACCACGGTGGGTGGCTGGAGAGAAAAGGTCCTTGGGGACCAGCAGCTGCCCCCCAACTTGTGGAGTGACAAAATCAGACCCAGGAGGGGAAATGCCCTGCCGGACATCAGCAGGCCCTCATGAGCCACTTCCAAGTGTCCACTTCCGGCCCTCTGGGTACTTCTCAGAGCTGGCCCAAAGGCTGGGACACAGCTGATTGGCAGCACCGGCTCCCGTGGCCCGGAGGCGCCTCAGGAAGCTCATCCTGGCATTTCCTAGTCTCCAGGTCCTTTTTCAGTGTCCCCTCTGCCTCTCCTGCTCACCCTTCCAGGCCCACAAGTGCCACTGCCTCCAGAAGGGCAGCCAGGATTCCTCCTGCTAGGGCCACCTCTCAGTCCCTGACCCCCACAGCACCTTGAAGAGCTCAGGTTGCCCCAGACCCGGAGGCTACCTAACCCGAGGTCAGGTGTGCGGGCTCTGGAGTCTGCAGGCCTGAGATCAAATCCCAGCCCCGTACCTCCTATGGTGGGACTTTGAACAGCTGTTTAACTCTCTAAGCCGTGTTTACTCTGTCTCTAAAATGGGGTGGAGGGTGGGCACAGGGGCTGCCTCTGAGGATTGCTATGAAAATGTCATTAGTTCCTCCGTATGGAGCGCTGGATGCCGACTCTGATGCACAGCAATGTGCAAGAGATGTCACAGACATTCCTGCTTGGAAGAATGAGTCCCTGACTACACAACGGGCTCCTCCCAAAAGGACTCTGCAGCCCCAACCGCTGTCACTGTCCCCAAAGCCCAGCCCTGCAGTCGCAGGCATTCTGCAGGGGCAGCAGATCGGAAGTGGCGGAGCAAAGCTTCGTCATCAGCCCAGGCCGCAGTGGCAGGCATCGAGAGGGGAGCGCCTTCATGTCCAGCCTCGCTGGGGCTGTAGGAGGGCAGCAGTTTCCCTGGCAATTTCCCACCAGCGGTGTAGGAAGCTGGCTCCTCCCCACAGCCTCCCGGGAGGTTTTTACTGAGTCCTTGATAACAGCCACTGTTGCTGGAGAAACGTGGAAGCTCAGTGCTGTACTGATTTGCATTTCTCTGCTGGCCCAAGATTTGCGTGTCTTTTTTTGGCCATTTTCACTTCCTTTCCCGGGAAGCACCGACTTTCTACAGGTGACAGAACTGGGACAGGGACAGCAGAGTTGCCATGCCGCCAGTGGGCAGAGCTGGGACCTGAACCCTGGCCATGACTCCAGAGCCCACAGGGAGGCCACCACACCACAGGCCCCAGCCACCCTGCGCCCTTGACACAGTGGAGGGCTACCAAAGTGTGTGTGCGTGTTTATGTTTTTTAAAAAAATATTGCAGGAAGAGGCACATTGCCACAAACCCTCCCAAAACCCTCTCCCTTGGCCGGGATTTAGCTCAGTGGTTTCGCCGCCTGCTGTGCAAGCTCAAGGACCTGAGTTCGATCCCCGGTACCAAACAAAGCCCCTCTCCCTCGTTGCACTCCCTTGGACAGCTCCAGATCCCTCTTTCCCAAGTGTCTGTATGAGGTGAGAGCAAAAATACAGTGCCTGCTGCTGCCATCCACGGAAAGGCAGCTCGGAAGAACATGATGATCCACCTTAGTCACCGGATCTGGCACCATGCGACTGCCGGCTCTTCCACAAGGTGGAAATAACCTTGAACGGGAAATGTTTCTACTCCACTCAGGACACAGAGGCCGCCAGGACAGTGCAGCTAGAGACCCTCAGGAGCGAGGACCCCAGAGCTGCTGCAGGAAGCGGCGAGGGCAATGGGATGAGTGTGTTGGGAGCGAGGCACGTATTTTTGCGGGGGATCCATGGCAGTGAGTCTTTTATCACAATGAATTTTTAAAATTTAAACTTTTACCATATATTTTACTCTCGCTGAGCAGGCACCAGGACCCAGAGGCCCTGCGTACTCTGCAGAGGGCAAAGAGGGGGGGCCGGACGTGGAGAAAGGTGAAGAGGGGGGAAGAAGGGGGACTGGAGCCGTCAGAGAGGTGCAGGTGGGCAGGAGGAGCAGCCTGCTCAGCTATGTCAGGCGCTGCAGAGCGCTGACTTACAGCTCACCGCTCTGCACACTGAGGTCAGAGGCCAGGTGAGAAGCAGTGGGAAGTCATTAGTGCACTTTCCTTCCGGAGGCCTCTGCAGGCTCCCAGTGCCCGTTCTGCCCACGTGGAGGAAGGGAGGGAAGGTCAGGGCAGGACCCGTCCACCTGCAGCCAGAGTGTGCCTGCAGGGGACAGGGAGCGGGACCCGAGCTGGTGCTCAGTCCTGGGCAGGGACTGAGTTTGGGCCTAGCTCTCCTCATCCACAGAAGGAGGGAGGGGCTGGGGCTCAGGACGAGCGAAACTCTCAGGACCAGAACATCTCACTCCCTGAATGAATGCACAGAAGACACTGCTGTCCACAGAGGCTTGGAGGGAAACCGCCAGCCAGGGGTCTCCGGGCCTCCCTGGTGCTGAGCTGAGGCTGCAAAGCAGAGCGGGAGGGGAGGGGAGGGGAGGGAGGAGCATCCCGGGCTCACTGGTCACTGCCTCCTGCTGCTGCTGTCCCCCCACCCAGCCCAGGGGCCCGGCTGGACTTGGTGGAGTTGCCCGCCCATAGCCTCGGCATCAGGGCAGCGCTGGGATTTGAATCCACAGTGGACCACATCTGTGGGTCACAGTGCCCGCTGCTCAGCACAGACTGGGCCGGGTAACTCAGCCAGGAAGAGTGGCACCCTCGGAGGGGCACGGGGGGGGGGGAAGAACTCCCTCCGAGCCCCGTTCTTTCTCCCCCAACACCCGCTCCTCCATTCACTTGGCGCAAACCAGTTTTGGAGGGTCCTCGGGGCTCCCCGGTACCTGGAAACCTTCAGCACACACAGCTTTGATTTGCAATTCCATGCACACCCAGAACGCTCCATGGTGGACTGGCGTGACTCACAGTCACTCGAGTCTAGCTCCCCAGAGACAGGCTGCTCACGGCCCTCAGGTGGCCTCCTCATGCACGTGCATGTGACCTGGAGGGACAGGGACAGGGATCAACAGGAGGATCAGCAGCCAGGAGACTGTCATGGACAGCAAGTGTGTGTGTGTGTGCGCGCGCGCACATATGCATGGGAGTCTGTGTGTATGTGTGTGATACTGGGGCTTGAACCCATGTCCTTCCCTCTAAGCTACATCCCTCGTCCCTCTCTGGATTCTTAAGGGGCTCACTCTGAAAGCCAGGGCAGTAAAAGGTGGGGTAACAGTGCCTGAATCCAAACTCAGATGAAGCGGAGATGGGACAGTGGTGACAGAAGAGGCTCAACCCAGGGAGAAGGCCGCCCAGGTGGAATGACCGGAAGTCACCCAGTCCGGGCTGGCACAGTCCCTCCTGCTGCCTGTCTCCCACCCTGAGCGCCCACCATTCGAGGTCCCTGTGGAACTGGCCCAGCCACTTAGCCTCCCCCTATGCAAGAAGCAGACAGGGTGACAGGAGCTCGCCTGCTGAGACAGCAGCGGTTACTCTGCAAGAGTCAGCAGGCTGCTGCTGTCTCCTTCCTGCATAAACAAAGGCTTTATCTGCTCATGTGACCACCCAGGAAGTGCTATCTTCCCCTGTCTCTGTGCCACGCCAAGCTGAGGCTGCCAGTCAGGCCCTTGGATGAGAAGGCGCCTGGGCTCCTTTCTCAGGCTCCCAGAGGGGCTGCGTGGTAGCAGACGCAAAATCAGCCGTCTGAGCCCCAAGACAGATGGACCATGGTTCTCGAGGGGGCCAGGGAGGCACCCAGGGCCAGAGTCACCGTGTCACCCTGGCGGGGACACTCCCAGGCTCACCCAAGCAAGGCAAACTTGCTTCCTGCAGGCTGGCAGAGTTGGCTCTTAGCACTGGGCCTCAAAAGGTGCCCTTGAGTTCCTTTCCATGGTGTTTGGTGAGCACGGGGCGGTGGCCTCCAAGCGAGGGAGGGACAACTGGCCAGGAATCAAGGGACAGCTCCATCTGGCTCAGAGCCCCACCCGCAGAGGCCTGCTGCCTCCCTGTGATGCTTCTACTTTGATCCCAAATCAAGATCCACAGCCTAATGACGGATCTGGGCCATTTGACAACAAGAAGCATTCTAGGGTTCCGGTGTGGATGGTAAAATGTTAGTAGGTAAGGAACATTTCAATCTGAAGGAAGAATACGAGGGTCTTCGATGCCAGGTTATGCTTAAAAACCCACGGTGTACATCGCTTGCCACCCACACAGGCCCAACTGCATTCCTTAATCTCTCACCCCACCACCTCCTGTGTTTAAGACAAACTCCAACCCAACTTCGGCCCAGTAGAAAGTGGCCCGAGGGAGAGGCCAGCCAGCGGAAAGCCCTGCCTGGACCTCATTCAGGGATTGCGGGCTTCCATCTTCCCGCAGGAGCTCTGGGCCACCTCCAAACTCAGGCACAGAAAGGAAGTGAATGCCTGGCTGGGCCTCCCCAGGAGTGCACTCCTGGCCTCCCTGAGGCTGGAAAGAGAAGTCCTTGGTCCTCCCTGGCTCCCCAGGAGTCAGGGGTGAGCAGTGGGAATCATCCAATGAAGATCTTGAAAGCGACCTTCACCACTTCAAGCATGAAGATCTTGGAAGTGATCCCAGGAAAGCAATGAATTCCAAGCAGTCGGTCTGAGGAAAGCAACCAGAAGATAGATCCCACCTCACCCTTCCCAAACTATAAAAAAAGAGCAAAGAGAGAAGACACCTGGGAGTGTCCTTTCCCGTGAAGAGGTTAGCACCAGCGGCTCCTCTGATTTTCCAGCGAGGCCTGGGACTCAAGGAACGTGGACCCCCGTGGGAACACAAGTCATGGGAGATGGCACCTGAAGGCGACCTCACTTGACCGGAGGAATAATGACACATGTTATTATTATTGTAGCTGAGACATGTTATTGCCTGGCGCAATATTCCGTTCCTGGGCATTTTCTCCTTTAGTCTTCTCAGGGCTCTGAGTTAGGTAACGTGATTATCCCTGATTTGCAGATGCGGAGACTGACACGAAGCGCATGGCCAACGTCACACAGCGAGAAACAGCAGGGCCAGCCCGCCTCCGGCGTGGAGGGGCAGCTCTGGCTTCTGTAGCAATGTGCAGGAGGCTCACTGTGTCCCTCAGCCATGGTTTAGAGGATGCCAGCGTCAAGGGGAAGGGACACAAGACATCCCGGAAAGGACAGGGACGGGGCGCACAGCCTGGCTGTCGAGGCAGTGGCTGGTGCTCAGGAAACTCCTCCTCGTTTGTTTGAGGGGTTCTTTTTTGCTGTTTTTGTGAGGGTTTACTGCGGATTGAACCCAGCACCTTTGCACTGCGCTACATCCCCAACCCAGGGCTTAAACTCGCAATCCTCCTGCCTCAGCTTCCCAAGGCCCTGGGTAGCCCGCGCCCCTTGACGGCAGCTTGGATGGCTCCAAGCAAGGCTGGCTGGCTAGTGTGAGACCTGACCTTCCTGCCCCGTCCCTTAGGTGCTCAGTGCGAGGCCCCAGGCTCCCAGGGGTCTTGCAGGCCTTCTTAAAGGAGCAGTCACTCTGCTGCAGGCGGGCTGGTGTGCTTTAAGTGTGCCTGGTCTCTCTTCCTTAGGCTGTCACGGTCTGCTACAGTGCTGCTCTGGATGTGCTCAGGTTGCAGATAACCATCCTGTCATCCTGCTCTGCTGTCTCTTTCCTTTCCACCATGTCCTCGAAGGGCACACATTTCAGACAGAAAAGAGCAAAAAAGTTTTTAAAAGTCCCAGTCTCCTGGGAATAAGACTGAAATGAGAAAGAAACCTTCACTGTGCTAAGCCCCTGAGGACTCAGGGTTGCTTTGTCCTTGCAGCTTTGCCCTACTGGGCACAGCTGTGCTGTGAGCTGAGTGTGCACTGAGAAGACGCACAGCCCTGCCTGGTGTACAGCAAGCCAGACCGGCACACACAGCTGAGGCTCGGAGTGCTGTTACTGACTGCCCACGTTACAGGCCTCACTGGGGCTGGCATTTGCTGCCCCGCACGAACATCCAGAGTTCTTGTTAATTACATTGCACAGCCGGCCCGGGCGGCTTCGTGTTTGCGGAAGATTTTATTGGTTTCTTTAAGGATCACACAACAACCTCCAGTCTCAGAGGGGAAAAGCTCTGAAAGGTCACCTTGGCTTTCCTCCGCCTGGCAAGTCACTTCCTCGGGCTCCCTGGGCTCCATGTGCAACGTGGTAACGCGTGACGATGGCGCCGATTTCATGGAGCCCTTACTGGATGAAACAAGGGACTCATCACAGAGCCTGCCCCGGGAGGCCCCACCAGCCCTGCTCCTCATGTTTCTGAGGCTGAGCGTTAAGGAAAACAGAAGTCAAATCCGGATTTACAAATCAGTGAACACCACAAAAGTGAGGATGCTACAGGAACACTGATCCACGTGCATCGGGTTTAGCTGCTCCGGGTAAGAGATCTTTCCCAGCCTGGGGAGAGGCAGTGGTTCATTGGGAGACCTTCAGAAAGGCCGGAAAACCAAACCGGAAGAAGCCACAGCGAGAGGCTCCTGGGCCCGGGATTCTCCAGGTACCCGGGAGGAAGTGATGGAGAGGAGGCGGAGCCAGAAAGTGAGGCAGCTCGGGAAACCAGGCTGCACGTGACCCACCCAGGAGGAGGACGCCATGCGCCTGGCTCCTGTCCATGTTCGCAGCACGCGATGAATACATTCATCGCGGGGAGTTTGTGCATGGACATAACACACCTTCATTTGGGGGATTTTTTTGTTTGTTTTGCTTTGTTTTGTTTTGAAACCAGGGATCAAACTCGGGACCTTGCACTTGCGAGGCAGGCGGTGGCGCCACTGAGCTACATCCCCTTAATTTTCTTGGTCTCCTTTCCCCTCTCTCCTCCCTCCAACTCTTCTTCCCCTCCCCATTTCCAAAAGCTCCATTTCCACCTTTTTCTTCAACTCTTCTTTTAAATCCTTTTTCCCTTTCTTCCCTCCCCTCTCCACCCATCTCCTGGTCCCCACCCCATTTGAGAAAGATCTCCCTACTTCCTAATATCCATCTTTTCTTTTTCTCCTTATTTAAACTCCGGGTTTCTGATGTAAGACAAACGAATGATTTTAAGCTTGTGTGTCTGATTTATTTCACTTAACATTATGGTCTTGAGGTGCATCCATTGTCCTACAAATGCTGTGTTTATCCTTCTTTCTGTCAGAGTAGTACTCCATTATGTGCAAATACCACATTTTCTTTTAGCATTCATCTACTGTTGGGGATACAGACTGTTTCCAAGATTTAGCTACTATAAATTGTGTGGCTATACACATGGGTGTGCATGAATCACTATAATATGATGTCTTTAACTTTCTCAGGAAGATACCTAGAAGGGAATAGCTGGGTAGAATGGAATTTCCAGATTTAGTGTTTTGAGGACTCTCCATACTGATTTCGAAGTGGCTGTACTAGTTTACACTCCCACCGACAATGCAGAAGGATTCCTCCTCCACCAACATACACCCACAGCCTCACCAGCTGATTTCTGGTTTTTTTATAGGTTGATTTCTTGATAGCAGCCATTCTCTCTGGAGGGAGATAGAATCTCAGTATTGTTTTAATTTGCATTTTTTCTCCAGTGGCCAGCGATGTTGAATATTTTTCAAGTATTCATTGACCGTTTGTACTTTTTTGTCTGAGAAATGTCTGTTCTTATCAGATGCCCATTTTCAGAGTGAGTCTTTAAATTTGGAGGGTCCAATTCTTTTATTTCTTTATGTATTCTAGATATTAATACTCCAAGGAGTAGCTCAAAAAAACATTTTTTCCATTCTGTAGATTGTCTGTTCACTCTGTTGGTGATTTCCTTTGCTGTGCAGAAGCTTCTTAATTTGATGTGATCCCAGTTATCTATTCATGGTATTATTCCTTGCGCAACTGGGGTTTTGTTCAGAAAGTCTTTGTCTAACCCATGTCTTCAAGAGTTTACCTAGCCCACTGCCGGGACCTGCCAGTACCAGTGCTGGGAGCCGCTTTTGTGTAGCTGGGAGCAGGGCTGGCCAGGATGAGCAGACAGAGAACACAGGCGGCAGACATGCTTTGCGTCACCTTGGAGCCTGCGACAGGAATCGAGCCAAGCCCAGGGACAGTGACAGCAGAAGTGAGGGAAAGCAGCCCCGGGTGCTGCGTGCCAGCTGCTCCCTGCTTGGAACCCCGACTCCCCCCCCCCCCCCCGCTGACAGAGGAGGCGTCTGGGTGGGTGGGGTGGGGACAGCAGGGGCAGGGCAGCGCCACCCACCGGCCCACCAGGGCGACAGCAGCCCCCCCCCGCCCCCCGCTGGGGGAGAGCCCAGCCCTGCAGTCACTTCCGGAGCCTCTCCTCCCTCCAGTCCTTCCTCCTCCGTTCACCTGCCGCCATCCAGCATCCAGCGGCCTTCCCTGCTCTCCGCCCCGCGGCTGGGCCCTGAGGGGCGGGCAGGCACCGCACCCCTGGGGTGGGGGCAGTTCCTCCTCTGAGTCACCACGAGGACACCCCGCCCCTCCTCACTCCCAGAAATCAGAAAGCACCCCGGGAAATGGCAAAGAACCCACTGCACCCCTTCCACAAACACAGAGGCGTTGGCTTTATGGTTTGCTTGGTGTTAGGTTTTTTCGGTTTGGGTTCTGGTTTTCATGAGTAGGAAAGACTTTTCTCCCTTCAAGGGGCTGAATGATTAAGTGCAAGTTCCCCGCCCCCAGGAGAAGCAGCACCAGGGAAGGAGCAGAGGGAAGGAGGGCTGCAGCGGGAGGAGCAGCTGGCACCCATGGGCGCAGGGACCCAGCACGGCCTCCAAATGGCCCTCGGGATGCTCAGCACAGAACCAGGCCCTCCGAGGCCTGTGACAGCCCCAGCGTCCCTCAGTGTCCCATCCTGGCTGGGCTCCGGGAAGCCTCCCCTGCGTGGGGTCCCGAACTCTACAACAGGTGACCCGTGGCAAGCTGTCATTCCTGTCCAAGCCTCCTCGGCGTTCTAATAACAGAGCTTACTGCAAGCGTGTACGAATCAAAAATAAAATGAGAAAAATAAAATAAAATGGAGCCCATAATACCCCAGATAGGATTCCAGGGAACATTAAGCAAGACGAAGCCCACCGGAAGTACCCCAACCTGGCACTTGCCCCAAGCTCCAGCTGCCACGAACCTTGCAAAGTCCTCAGGGGACCAGGTCAATGTCCGCTGTCAGGACTGGGCTCCAGGCTTCTCAGGAGCAGCCCTGGGCTGAATGACGGATCCTCAGCCTCTTCTCTCCCTGTCGTTAGTTCCTTAGCTGTATGATTCCCCCCAAATTGCTCTCCTCCTCCCTGCATCCTTACAGCATCAGGGCTGGTAAAGACCCCAGGTGGGGGTGGGGCTCCAGCCACCAGGTGCTGACACTTGCACAGGGAGCAGAGGAAGTGGGGAGCAGCCACTGTGGTGTGAGTTGGGTGAGGGTCTTGTGAATACTCTTGATGACTCATGAGGCCTCTCAGCTGACACTGCACACAGAGCTAAATCCAGAGGTGCCACCTCATCCGCGAGGTCAGAGGACTTGCACCTGCCCCCCTCGGAGAGGTGGGAATTGCAGGCTGTAAACAAGTCACACTGCCGTTTGAGAACCTGGCAACTGCCACAATCAGAGGGAAAATAATCGCAAGTGGAAGGCGGGTGTGAATCAGATGCCCTGGCATGGCATGGGGGCATGGGACACAGGTGGCAGCCCCTTCCTTCTCTCCCTGGTACCCCTTTGGACCTGACTTCTAGGCCATGGTTTGTGCCCAGCACACTTCTGGTTTCCAGCCCTCTCTGCCTGGGGCCTGATATCTCCTTCCTGTTCCACGCCATAGGGCTTCTTCCCTGGCATCCTGCTGCTCCTCCTGTTAATTATATTCCTCAGAAGAGTCGTCTTTGCCCAGGACTTATTTACACACACACACACACACACACACACTCACACTCACACACTCTTATTCTGGCTCCAGGGCTGATAACCATCAAGCTAGATCCTCCTACCAGACCCCTGCTGGACTGGGTTTCCTTCCTGTGGATTCTGGATATGTTTGAATAAGCCTTTCGATCACCCTTTCGATCACCAGTTTACTCCATCAACAAACACTTAGTGTGTGCCAACTCCGTGCCTGGTGCTAAATGCCTCAGGGTCGTTATTCAATATTTGTGCTTTGAAAAAGTGATCATGGGATATATTATATTTTCAGCAAGTGATTCTCACTATCAGAAAATAGAGTATAAAAAACTGGGATCTAGAACAACCTTGAAAGTAATCTCAAAGTAAGAAATGTCACTGAGACACTAGCTCAGCACTTCATTTTTCCACCTTGTAAAAAGTCTAAAGGGACCAAGGAAGGAACCAAGAACAGAGATATGGAAAGGAAACTTCTATGCTAATAGACATTCAAGTGGAAGGAAAGTACATTTTTTTAAAATTTGAAACTGTGGAAAATGTAAAGAATATAACGCAGCCTGCAGATGAGGGAGGGAAAAACCCTATTTCTTATCAGGTAAGACCCCTGTATATTAATAACACTGAAGCCAGGATCTGAAGTGTGAGCAGGAAATGGGATAAAATTATTCCAGAAAGATGGAATAGCGAATGGAAGGCTCTCGACAACTTTACAAAGGAATCCAGCTGGGAGGAGCATCACCAATTGCTGACCATGGAGCAGAAGATAAAAACACACAGGTAGCGACACCTTGCAAAACAATATTCATCAGCCAGACACCCAAATAATTACCTAAAAGGTCCCAACCCTGACGTTTATCACCGTCACTTCCCTCAGAGGGATGTAAGTAGGGGAATAATGAGAAGAAAGTTATTTTGTAATCATCCAGCATGAATTATGAGTCTGAGAGGCTATTGCCAGAGCTACTTTGGAGTAATTTACCCAACATTATTGGAGCCCAATTTTACCTGACATTATCTGTGCAGAGAGAGACTCTGGAATGAGATCCTGTCTCGCTGTGGGCCGTCACCTCGCTGAGCCTCGGGGGCTGCTGTGGGACGTGGGACTGAGAGCTCCCGCTTTACCACGTGACAGGAGAGTTGGGGTCTCGGGGCAAGGAGGTGACCACGCTTTGACAACTGTGAAGGTGTTCACGGAGGACTCGTTCTTCACGCCTTTCTGGGAGGCTAGAAGGTTCCTTTCTGCGGCAACTGTCAGAACGAAACACACCGCCAACTGGTTTAAAGAAGGAAAAACACACAAGGCCAAACGACGGGGCTTAAGGAACCGTGGGTGACTTGGTTCGGTGGCTCCGATGAGGCCACCCCTCCCAGACAGGGCTTCTCTCATCTCTGTTTTCTCCACTGTGGCCTCCTTCAGAGGCTCTTGTGGTGGTTGCCACTTCCTCCAGGCCTGCACTGTCCCAGGTTTAAATCTCGCCAGAAAGAGGATGTTTCTGTCTCAGCAATTCGAGGAAAGCCCTCAACTTCATTCTCACCGACTCTGATCCCCGGAGGCGGCGTCTGTGCACAGACTTGAGAGGCCGCATCGGGCTCGCACGGGAGAAGCCCAGGGAGGACAGATCCCTGGAGAGAGGAAGAAGAGGAGGAGGACAGGAAGTTGGGCAACAGAAACAGCAGCAGGCGCCCACTCCACGCCCAAACCCTAAATCCCATCCCTGAGAACCCGCAGGTCAGCAGACAGACGTCCTCACAGACCGAGCGGCTTGCAGGCCTGCCCGAACCGAGTCCTGCAGGAGCTCACAGTGCTGAGCCTCCACTCCCACCTTCCTCGCCAGCATTTCTCCTTCCCCTTCACACCCAGTCTGCTTCTTCCATCCCGGAAAAGGAAAAGATCCTTGCGGGCCTCAGCTGGAGCCTGTGCCAGGGCAGCTCTGAGTCTTCTCTCTGTTAGCCAGCAGGTCCAGGTCTGCTCCCTGCTGCACGGATTTTGCTCTGTGTTTATCCCCCATAGGAGGGCACGGGACAGATGCAGTGAGCACCAACACACAGTGAGGCCTGAGAGGCATAGGGGCTGGCGGGGAACAGAGTGGTGAGAGAGATGCAAACTGAGCCTGAGGCAGCAACTCCCAACGTGTCAGAAGCAGAGGGAAGGAAGGTCATTGCAGGCATGCGCCCTTGGATCCAAGCTCACCTTGACCTCTCCACTGAAGAGAGAAAATCTTTCTCTCTAGCCAGAAGTTACACACCAGCAGCTCGCCTGCCGGCAGATGAGGCTAGCAGATGTGTTACACTTGGCCCACACAACATTTTGTAGAATTTAAATCAGTTGCCAACATTTAAAAATGGTGAGAGTTTTACATAAGGATCTGGGTGGCAAGCAAGCTGCTCCTGGAAAGCCAGGCTCTGGCAGCCCTGAGCGGGGCCTCGGTGGGACCACAGGTGGCTGCAGGGAGCTCCAGACCTGCTTAGACCGAGCAGGGCCCCAGGAATGAGGGTCTCACCCTGCTTGCTTCCTACTGACCGCTATTGGTCACTCTTTTCAAACCCAAGCACTGAACCACTCATTCTTTGGGCCAACTCCCACTATTACTGTAAATTATATTATGATGCAGGGTGTGATCGAAAACTATGGTGAGTGTTTACATTAAAAACTAATTATTACAGTAAATGATGCATGGCCATCAATCCTCTTCAGAATACCACCTCCAACCCCACTTCAAACACACCCTATGGTTCTCACTGTCCCGGCCCGCGGGTAAGTCAACGGAGACCCTAGAGGGGGAGCGAGGATGAGAGGGGACAGGGGACACGAGAGATGGAGACAAGACAGGTTTCTGATCAAGTCTCGTTTATTGTGGGAGCTGTTACAACATATATACCGTAGGGCTAGAGGGGAGGAGCAAGAGGAGTGTACTGGGGCTACTTCCTTGTTGCCGGGTAGATCTGCAACAAGCCCGGGCATGTCCGTAATAGGCACTTAAGAATTCCAGCGGGGGGGGGGGGCAAGGCCCCCCACATCTCACCACTTCCTGCAGCAGCTCTGGAGTCCTCTTTCCTGAGGGTCTTTACCTGCGCTGTCCTGGCTGCCTCCATGTCCTCAACTGACTCAAACCGTTTCCCTTTCATGATATTTTGACTTTGAGAAGAGCCAGATGTTGCCCAGTGACAGATTCAGTGAACAAGGTGGGTGAGGATGCAGCGTCGTCTTTTCATGAGCTACACTTCTGCTGGACCATGCTCGGCAGCAGCGCTCATATCTCCTAAGGACACTCATGAGAGAAGACTGCTGGAGCTGCCCCGAGAGCAGCAAGAGCAATGGGTTAAGTGCATGTGAACTGAGGGGGAGGATTTGAGGGAGCTCATGCTAGGGTTTCATTTGTTTTCATAAATTTTTAAATTCGAACATGACTGTATATTTCAGTTGCCCCTTGTACATTATATTATCAGTCTAATCTGCTTCCATTACCCTCTCTGGTAGAAACCCCCAGATTTTCCAATCAACTCAACAGAGTGCAAATGGCCAGTGCACACTAGTGGACCTCAGCCGACCCTTCTACTTGATCCACCAACTTCTAGCCATTTCCAACCTGTGGACACCTCTCTTTTCCCTCTTTATTAATTTTTTTTTTTACAAGGTCTCACTATGTCTTTCAGACTGGGCTTGAAGTCACTATGTAGCCCAGCCTCGCCTCAAACTCATGGCGATGCTCCTGCCTCAGCTTCCCAGTGTTGGCGATACAGATGTGCACCACCATTCCTGGCCTCCCTCTTTTTTTAATGTGATAATAAAATATATTTTAAAAGGAAGTCTTGTAGTTTCATGCATTAGTTCTACAACATATTTAATATGCAGCCCGAGATAATTCCTCTTCACTCAGAAAAAGGGGGGTGGGAGGGCCACCGGGACATGGCTTCGTGACCCTGAACAGTCACCAGGTCTTCACTTGCCCCTTCCAATGACCTCACTACTTCACGGACATTTCCCGCCGTGCTCCCCTCTACTGGTCACTTCCTCCGAGGTTAGGGCCCAGTGCAGGCCATGTCCCCTTCGCAGGCCCCTCACCCTCCCGGTGCAGCTGCCCCCTGCCCAGGACTTCCTGCCCTAGTTTCCACACCCACCACATCTCCCTCACTGTTTACACGGCTGCCTCCTCCACACCCACCCAGCCAGGGAGCCTAGAGAGCAAGCAGACCCATGACGATTCACCCCTGTGTACTCAGTGCTGTCTGCGTGCCTTGGCAGCTAGCAGACCCTCCATACATTCTTGTCCCATGAATGAAGAAAGGAAGGAACATGCAGGAACCAACTGGAGCGTGTGCACAGAATGTCACCCCTTGGCAACCGTAACCCAAGAAGTCCTTTCTGGGAAGCGTTTCTGCCTACAAGGAATTGTTCCCTTGCCTGGGTCCCTCTAGAAGCCTGGTTCCTGGTAGCTCCCAGGTGAGGTATGAGAAGAAGCATAAGAGCCACAGCATAAGAGCCAGAGGCTCCTCAGTGCTGGTCCATGACCTTCCCAGCCCCTCCCAGCAATGGGCACCAAAGCTGTGAGTGAAGTTATAGCTCAGGTCCCAGCATCTGCGCCAGCCCAGGCAGAGAGGAGCCCACAGCTGAGACACCAGAGAGCCCAAGATCAGTTAATTCCAGCTTCACTCCAACCATTCTGGTGCATAATCTACTCCTTGAGGACGACAGACTCCCGCCTACCTCGGGGCCTTTGCCTTTCACTTCCCTCTCCCTGGAATTCTCTTCCACTACGTGCTACAGGGCTCCCCTGCTTGCTTTATTCAGACCTAAGACGGCATTAACCCTGGTAGAAAAGCTTTCTCCATCTCAAGGTTTCCTTGTAAATATGAACCCCATACCTTGCTGTGCTCTACGGAGCAGCCGTAGCACCGAGGGCTCAGTGACCAGAGCCAGTGAGGACTCCGTGTCCCTGAGACTCTCTCCCCTCTCCTCTTCAGCCTTCGACTTGGGTTCCACTGCTCTGCTCTCTTTCACCCAAATGGGCAATGAAGGAGAAGCCCTGAGTCACACCCTTGTGCTTATAATTTAAAGAGAAGGACTTGTTCTATCCTTCCTGAGGGGAATCTGAGAAATAATCAGATTGGTCTAACAGAGCTATCGCCACATGGGAGAAGGTATCTTTAGGTCCTGTCTGGGGTTGGCTCTGAGGAGGCTGTATCAATCCACTCTCCATCACTGGAACTCACCACCCAACACCCACAACTGACAGGAAGTCAAGTTTATTTGGCTCACAGTTTAGGGGATTCAGTCCATGGTTGCTGGCTCCAAGGCAAGAACATCGTGATGGAAGGGCATGGTGAAGCAAAGATACTCAGCTCATGGTGGCCAGAAAGCAGAGCAGAGGAACAATGCCAGAGAGGACAGGGTGAGGGACCAGATAACAGTCCCGAAGGCCACAGCCCTGTGACCCACCCCGACACACCCACAAGTGTTCTTCACTAATTTTCTAGGCATCTCTTCATCCAGCAAGTTGACAATCACAATTAACAGTCACAGTGACCCTTCCAGTTTGGCTCATCCCTCAGTTGTCACTGTGACTAAAGCAAGTAACCTCCCAGCTCTGGGTCACAGGCAGACTTGGAGCAGGGAGTAAAGGGAGCTCATCTGAGGCGTATGGCAAAGAATGAAAGAGGAAGAGCCAAGATTCAGTGTGTGTCCAAGATGGCGGAGACAAATATTCCTGGACATAGAGGAATGTTCGACTCTGATCATGGCTGCAATTCCTAAAGCACTGGTTCCCATCCTTTATTTACCCCACTTTGTCCTCACATGAGTTCTGAGTAAACACCCAGGTCATATTAGCTCTGGGTGACATTCAAAATGTTAGCATGCTGTGACCATTGGCCAGGGCAAAGGGACCGAGGCTGGAACCACTGGGATGACCACCACGGTCAACGGCAACACAGCAATAGCCTAAGGCACCTTTTTTTTTAAGATACTGAAGCCAGGAGAGATGGTTAGATTTGTGCCCAGTCAGTAAAAACAATTCCGCACCCTGATACCAACTCTAAGCCCCCTCCCATTGCCCTAACTATCCCCTCTGTCCTCAGCCATCAGAGAGGAAGTGGAGGAGGCAGGAAAGAGGTGCATTTATGATCCTGGCTGCTTGGAGAAGGAAGCTAGCACCAGGCTGTGTGCAGCGAGGACTGCTTCATCAGTGCCACAAAAACCTGGAAAGCAGGGCCTGCCAGACGGAGGGACAGGGAGCAGCCAATAGGAGGGTAGTTTCCAGCCAGCATGGCAGATGCCAGGAGGGCTGCAGCTATTCTGAGATTCAGGCAGTGGCTGCTCTGTCGCTCCAGCCCTGCCGGTCCCTACTTCTTTGGGGGAGACCTCCTCCCTCTCTCCAGCTCCTTGTGGGTGTAGAGTCTGGGACCTGAGACTTCAGAGCCAAGCAGTCAGCCCAGAGGGAATGATTCCATTAAGGAACATGATTAAATATCATCTCAAAGCCTGGCAAATGCTTAGTCACTGTCCTCATTAGAACTCCACAGTCATCCAATTTATTCAGAACTCATCTGGTCCAAATGCCCAGTTATTCGATGAAGAAGCATGATCCGCCCCAGAGTGCCAAAGCAGAATTAGGGGAGCCCAGTATTGCCTGGCTTCCCCTGGGCAGGCAGAGGTCAGTCTTGGGGTCACCATCCTTCTGCCTGCTGAGGCCACACAAGCTTGTCCTCCCTGGCTGGTTCAACTCTTGACCTTTATGTCCCCCATACTCCAGTAAAGTCACACTGTAGCTGTCAGTGTGGTTTCCTCCAACAGCTCCTCTTCCTTCCACAAGAGCCTCACTGAGGACTACATGGTCTCTTCTGGGCCACCATAGCCTGGGTCTTCTCAGCTCTCCAGGCCAAAGATGTCATTTTGGACCCAGAGTCTCTCCCAGAGAGAGAGAAAGAGAGAGAGAGAAGTAAACAAACAAGAGTGAATTAGGGCCAGGGATTTAGCTCAGTGGTTCTGCCGCCTGCCTCACAAGCGCAAGTTCCCGAGTTTGATCTCTGATACAAAAAAAAAAAGAGTGCATCAGAGTTATGATTTATATCTAGATGTCCCCCCAAAACCTCATGTGCCCATAGGTGGGGCTTTGGGGAGGTAGCTAGATTAGGAGGGTGTAACACTATGATTAAGGGTGTGTGGCACTGGATTCATCCACTGATTGGATTAGTGCATAGTTCTGGGTGTGGCTAAATGAATTTGCTGAAGACAGAAGCCCCACCCTGGGTATGGGTGGCACCAACCAGCAGGCTTGTAGCCTGAATGGAATATAAAGGAACAGAAGGAAGACATGCTCACCGCTTCCTACTTCCTGCCTGCCTGCCTGCCATGGACTGTTTCTCT